ACCGCAGATCGAAACCTGGAACCGTGGGCGGACTTACCACAGGTCGAAAACCTGGAACCGCTGAGCGGGTTTATAGTGGACCAAATGCCGATACCGCGCAGTATTACAGGGCGTAGCCCGCGACTGCAAGTGGCGTCTTACCAGGATTCAGCGACAGCGGAATCGCCGCCGCGCCCCCTGCGGGAATCGAACCCCAAACCCCTGGCGAGTGGTGATGCACGTGAGCCTCATAACCCGCTTCCCTACCTTGATGTGATGGGCAAAAGGTGGACTTCCCGGATCATTGCCCGTGTTGTTATTTCACTCGACCCGGTACATATACCCCACCTGGAAATGGTGCGACGCACATCGCACAGAGGTCCGTTCCAAACGGACCTCGCCGATCGCCAAAATCCGGCGTCGGCACAAGATTCGCCGTGCCACCTAGCAAGATTAGAGAGCTTCAGCTCAAAGTGAAAACCTATCGAAAGTTACACCCTATCAAATCCAACCTCGTTGAAAATCCGTTGATATACAGAGCTTGTCTGCACTTGCAGATATCTCTCCGTTCAACGGGACCACGTACAACTCTCAACTCGCGAGCCCAAATCAAGTTCGTACCTAGGTACGAATTTGGCCGAGGGCATCCCCGAGGCACCCCAGCCGACTCCCGTCCCGGGATCGATGGTGCGCAGTCAACGAGCCCATGCGCAGACGCCCGTCGATTTTCCGCATGGTGCGTCGACTCTAGCGGAATCGGCGTTTTGGGTACTTGTGTTCGAGTTCGTACCCACCCGCGATGCGCTGTCGCGGCCGGTTCCGGGCGCTGCCGGATTGGTTGCGGACGCCTGCGCGCAGTTCCCGCCGGTTGCCGGCGCGCGGCGGGTCCCGCAAGGGCCCGAACGCATGCTCCTCACGCGCCTTCCGATGCCACGTCGCTGCTGCCCAAGGGGTAGCCACAACGCGAAACAAAGTTAGGGCCGGCCCTGCGGGACCAAGGCGCGTCGATAGGGCCATTCAGCGCCTCATTCCGACGAGAACTGACCGATATCCTTGACCCCTCCTTAAGACAACGTCGTCGTCTCCAAAATATGCAGATCAGTTCGATTGGATATGAGTTTGATCTTGTCCGATGGATACGATAGGATATGAACCCGATAGGATATTCATTTGAGCTGAAGCTCTCTTATATGCAGCCACGATGGGCATTTCACAAGAAGCGTATTAAATGCGCTTCTATTCTCCGCGCATTTTATGCAGGCAATTCGAAGAAGCGCAATGGATACGCTTCTGGTAAATAACCCGAGTCAAAGACTGGCTCCCGGGCCCGGATGCCCGGTGCCAGTGCCCCGAAGAGCGCGCCAGCACACAAGATTTGGCGGTTATACCCTCTGGTTATACCCCCTTGGGCCAGCCCTACCCAGGGTGAACTTGAAGCAAGCAACGTTACGTTGCTGGCGTCAGTGTGCAAAGTTCAGCGGGCCTTGATTGTAATCCGAACTTCGGGCCCAATATGCAGCCACGATGGGCATTTCACAAGAAGCGCATTAAATGCGCTTCTCTCCTCCGCGCATTTTATTCAGGTAATTCGAAGAAGCGCATTGGATGCGCTTCTGGTAAATAATCTTGTGTGCTGGCGCGCTCTTCGGGGCACTGGCACCGGGCTTCCGGGCCCGGGAGCCCGCTTTTGACTCCAATCAAAAATTTCATGGTTCTAAAAGAAATCAATTTTCACAAGAAAATTGAACACAGGCTATGCCTGGGCCGCGACGCGGCACATCCACATCCCGAACGAGCCCGATTGAGTCGCCTACGCCACCGCCCCCCAAAAGGCTTCGCCGACGAACACGACCAAAGTGCCGAAGTGCCTAACGTCCCGTGCTTGCATAAGGGAGTCAAGCGCAAAGCGCACAAACCACTCCCGCGGCATGGCACCCGGGCTCTTTGGTCCGGGAGCGAGCCTTTGGAACCGACTAGTCAGGCATACCCTCTTGGGCCAGCCCCACCCAGGGTGGATCTTAAGCATGCAACACACGACAATTACACACGAGGGTAAATTCGAAGAACGCGGAAGAAATTCTACGAGGACGTCTGCGGTCCCTCCGACGCGCCGTGATACCGGAGCGGCGGCCGGCGGTGAAACACGGCGTTGGGTGTGGATCACAAGCCGATTAAATATCAATGGCCTGCACTCAACGGCATCCAAAACACTTCAATTAGCGATGAATTCGAGCCTGACATTTTGTGTCTTCGCCGGACGACTCAAGTCTCGCCTCGAGATCTAAAAACCTAATCCGCGGTGAAAGCATGCTGGGCCCATAACCCGTGGATCAACACAACGATAAAATCACGAGATTAATTGTTTCGACCCAATACATGTTGACCGAGCGGTTAAGACGAGCCTCACGAATGGACAACCCTGCCTCAGAGGTAGTATCTCATCGTGGGATGAGCAGGTTCGAGTCCTGCCATTGTCGGAACAGAATAGCGATTGGCATGGTGGCCGAGTGGTTAAGGCGGTAGCCTAGAAAGCTACTCTCGTCAGAGTCGCAGGTTCGAGTCCTGTCCATGTCGCAGAACCATCATACACGGCGCTTGCGTCGTCTAGCGGTCAGGATGCGACCTTGACACGGTTGAGATCATGGGTTCAAATCCCATCGCGAGTACTCTTTCCCTCTCAGAGTGATGTAGTGGTAACATCAGTCGTTGCCATCGACTGTCCCCGGGTCCGATTCCCGGCTCTGAGATTACAACCGCTATTACAGCGCCCGTTTCAGTTGCGGTCGTGGCAGTCACAATAACACCGTCCCTGTTCGTATAGTGGTCAGTATCTCCGCCTGTCACGCGGAAGACCGGGGTTCAATTCCCCGACAGGGAGATCGTCAAGGAGCTTTGTCAGCAAAATGTTTGCGGTCTTGGCCGAGCGGTCTAAGGCGCTAGTTTAAGGCACTAGTCTTCGGGCGCGGGTTCGAATCCCGCAGACCGTATTCACATCCACATTATAATGCTAGCGTGGCCCAATGGATAAGGCGCATGACTACGAATCATGAGATTCCGGGTTCGAGTCCCGGCGTTGGTTGATGAAAGCTCGATTAGTTTAGTTGGTCATAACGTGTGCTTCACACGCACAAGGTCTTGGGTTCGAACCCCAAATCGAGTATTACATGTTGGGTCTTTCCAGCGTTGGGTGTTTGGTCTAGTGGTATGATCCGCGCTTCGGGTGCGTGGGGTCTCCGGTTCGATTCCGGAAACACCCCTTACGTTCTTGGGCTTTTGGTCTAGTGGTATGATCCTCGTTTTGGGTACGAGGGGTCTCGGGTTCGATTCCCGAAAAGCCCCAAAGAAACCCGGCACAACCCGGTTCGGGGTTGAGTGAAAGCGCAGGGTAAAATCGATGCGATGCCCAGGGTAAAATCGATGCGATGCCCAGTTGAGTTGTGCGGTCTAGTAGATCAACGGTAGATCGTCAGATTCCAGTCCTGAAGGTTGCGTGTTCGAATCACGTCTGGATCAAATTTCATGTCCGAAAAATATCATCATCATACCAGCTAGCGTGGCCCAATGGATAAGGCGCATGACTACGAATCATGAGATTCCGGGTTCGAGTCCCGGCGTTGGTTAAACTCTGGGGAATTAGCTCAGGGGTAGAGCGATCGCTTTGCATGCGATAGGTCGCGAGTTCGATTCTTGCATTCTCCACACACATGTGTATGAGAACACAGATTGACACTTATCGGGGGCATAGCTCAGCTGGCAGAGCGCGCGCGGGCCCTGCTGCGGGCCCGGCTGCGGGCCCGGGCTTAGCTTGCGCGAGGTCTCAAGTTCGATTCTTGATGCCTCCACATGCCTCCACTATGCAATACTTCAGCTAGCGTGGCCTAATGGATAAGGCGCATGACTTCGAATCATGAGATTCCGGGTTCGAGTCCCGGCGTTGGTTTAGCTACTTTACATCACCAAACTTCCAGTTTTCTTTTCTTTTTTGTCTCGCTCGTTATCGAGTTATTATTTACGGTCGCGAGTATTTTTATTCTTGCATCCTCCATCCATGATCCCGTTTGCGTGTCGGACACGGTCGGTAGGGGGAGGGTGCCGGTAGGGGGGGCAGGGAGGGTCTGGGACCCTGACTGCGCGGCTCGACGTGCCAATTCGGTGGGGGGTCACGGACCCTGGCCATACGACCCAGGGTTTGTGACTTTGCGCCACAGGACCTGCGCCGCGACTCGCGCGATGAAAGCCGATGCGACGACGAGGCAGCAGCAACGACCGAGACAGCATCAAATATCTCAATACGCCATTTTAAGGACGCCACTAAATCCTGTAAGTCCCTTATTCGGATATTGTACCATCTCGGGCGCCTCATTTGGGGCCCGTCCGGGTTTGTTCCGGTGTGGGGGGTGGTCTCGGACCC